TCTTTTGTAGAATTAATTTATATTTTCACGTGCAATTTATCAATTACAATTATATGTATCGGAAATTTACAATTTTTGAAAATCGGAATCGACAGGATTCAAACCTAAGACCTATAGGGTAATAGTCTAACATTGTAACGCTGAGTTATAATCGCTTATTTGGATACTTTATGTGATAGTTATAAAGACATTTCTGATTAAATTACATAGATTTTTATAAACATTGTATCATATTTATCATGTATCTTAAATATTCTTTTTAATCTTAAATTTTAGATTACTTGCCAATATAGATTTTTTTATATTTCCCTATCATTTTTATCATACAGCTTTATTATCATTTTTAAACAATTTTTATCTGATTCTATGAAAATTAATAATTAATAATATTCTATCGTGTTTTTGAATCATAAATTCCATGTTATTTATCTAAAATATTTGATAGATTTTTTATATTTCTGTATCATTTTTGTCTTCTCAGATATGTTTAAATAAAGTAGATGTTATAAAAAAATATGCTGTTGTTATATAATTAAGTATTCATTTAGGTCATTGAATAATTAATTATTTAATATCTAAATGTCACATTATGTTGGCAACGATGATAGGATACGATAATTTTTCTATAATATCTGTCGTATTCAAACATATAGCAACATATTTAAACTAAATTATATAGATTCGTATGAACATCTTTTTATTTATTTCTTATTAATCTGATTTAATAGTGATAGGATTATATAGAAAAGCTTGTCATCTCCGATAAATATTCTATCGTTTATTTAATATAAGATATAAACGATAGAAATTTATAACTTTTTTATCTGGCGTGATTTTAATGTCTGATAGGTATGATAGATCCTGATAAAAATTATATAGAATTTTTATCAGATTTTTATGAATTTCTATCGTTTTTTATCGGATTTTTTAAGTAAAGATCTTAAGTTTTGAATGGCTGCGTTCGGAAACGTCGCTCCCCAATCGGCAAAAAATGTTTCTAAAATGTTTTTTAAATATTTTTTTTCATTGCAAAAAAATGTTTAAAAAAACATTTTAAAAAACGTTTAATTAATGGGATAAATTCTTTTTTATTAATTAAAAAAACATTTTTGTTAAGAAACGTTTATTTAATGTTTGAGTAAACATTTCTTTAACATTAAAAAACGTTTTTCAAAAATTATTTGAACAAAATTAGAAAAAAATAATAATGTAGAATCATTCTTTTAATTAATTTTTTTATCAACAGTGCTTATACCTTAGACAACTAATTTTATTTCTAATTTTAATCTTTTTCATTTACCGTGTGTAGCCGGGTTTTAAACCTGGATCTTAGGGTTATAAATCTTGTACCTTATCCGTTACGCCACTTATAAATTATCTATGTACACTAAATATCAATGTATACAGTTCTTATTGCCCATGTATGGTACATGCACGCAATTTATTGTGTTAATTTTATTGTGTTAATTTCTCTTCTGTGATTATTTCATTATTCCATATCGTTTTTTATTAATTTGAGTTTTAGAAAATAATAACATTTTTACATATTTATGATTAACATTAGATAAACATTAAATGTTTTTTTTTTTTAAATAAATACAATATTTTAAATAAATGAATAACAAAAAACAAACATTTAATAAACGTTACATAAATGAACTTTACTAAAATTAAATAAGCGTGAAGTAAATATTTCTTATCATCACATTTTAAATGAATAAATAATATAAAATAAACATTTTATAAACGTTAAATAAATGTTTAAAAAATATTTCTTTCGATCTTTATTTCAAATGAATAATTAATGTTGAATAAATATTTAAAAAATATTTTTTCAAATCATTATTTCAAATGAATAATTAATGTTAAATAAACATTATAATAAACATTAAATAATCGTTTTTTGAAATAATGGTTTAAAAAATGTTTTTTCAAACCATTATTTCAAATAAAAATAAATTCAAAATAAACATTAAATAAACGTTAAATAAACGTTTACACAATGTTTTTTAACCATTTATTTCAAATAAAAAACTATAATATAAAATAAACATTCAATAAATGTTAAATAAACATTAAATTAATGAATTTTGAAAATGAATCGTGAAAAATGTAAAATTAATGAGAAATAAACGTTTAAAAACATTTAAAAAACGTTGTTTGCTGATTGGGTCGGAGCGAGTTTTCGAACGCAACCATATAAGAATGGCCTGTAAATATCGACCGATAACTGAACAGTTATTTATTTTATAGAATCAAACGACGTAGGTAAGTAGAGTGTATAACAACATTTGAGCCTAGAAAATGTTGTATCGAGAAAAAGATGAAGAAAAGTCTATGTTAAGAAATTAAAGAAAAGCGGTCTGTTTCGCAAAGCGAAGATCGATCTATGTCACAACGCATACGAAATAAGGTTTATATTGAGAGTACGGTTCAAGTTGCATGAAATTAAAGAAGAAGTTATATAGCGCAATATATTTTCTTCTCATGAATTTTAGTGGCATGAACGGAAATCGTCTTAATTTTAATTTTCAATCCTGTTTCTCATTTATAATATTTATTCATTTAGCTATTATTTAATTTTTTGTAACTAAAGTGTAATTTAGTAAGTAGAGTAGTAAATATTGAGCTATATAGACTCTTTTTTTAATTTTATGTGACTTGAACCATTCTCTCGCTTTCTTGATATAAACCTATATACCGCATACTTCGTATGCGTTCCGATATAGGCTGACCTTCACGCCTCACGCAAAATAGATCGCTTTTCATTCATTTCTTGACATAAACTTTTCTTCATGTTTTTTTTGATATAGCATCTTCTATGATTCAGGCGTCGATTAAAATCTTATTCTTTTTTGGCTCAATCTTATAATATTTATGCTTCTTATTCGATTTTTTCATAAAAGTGTGTATTATCCTATATTAAGAAATAAGACATTAGAAAGTTATTCTAATATATATATATGGTTTATTGTTGGTTTTGAAATATTAACTCTTGAGATTAATTCTAAAAATTCATTTTTTTAAAGCTAAATTTCAATTGGTTGATTACTGAGCGATTATGTTTTTGTATATAACCTGCTTTCTGCATGTGTAATGTACAATATTTCCAATATTGTGAATCTATTGCACAAATTACCAGAGTGCAAGGTTAAGATTTCTTGAAGCGATTCTTGGAATCTATTAACGAAATTAACTATGATTGCTGCTAAAACCATACATGATCATAAAGAATTACATAAGAATTGATAGTAAAAATACATAAGAATTGAAGATACATAGAATTAAAAATTTAAGAATTAAAAATACATAAGAATTACATAACAAGAAAGAATTTATATGTCTGTTAATGCCTCTACAATACAAAAGTTGCAGCAACACATTGCATTGTTACTGCAAATTCTGTGCTGTATAGGTGATGTTGAGGATATGAAAATTATCTTTATTTAGGTGTAGACGCAATTGTTTCGAGGATTTGTTTCTCTCTAGACAAAAGAGTAATTTTCTTGTTGTATTTTTCACGAAGGTTTTGAAACAGAAATAATTGAATTTCATACTCTTTCTTGAGATCGGCATTGAGTCGTATAGCTGCGTCCATTTTACTAATCATTGTGTTATGCCAATCGCGTTCCTCAGAGATTTTCTTTTCCATGTTATCGATTTCAGCCTGTAATATATATTAAATATTAATTAAAAAGTATTAAAAATTCTAAAGCAAATAATACATACTACCCGTATAGTGCGTAATATCACAGTAATATCGCAGCAGTATTGCAATATATCCGAAATATTACATATTACAGTATAATAGACACAGAAATATTATATAAATTTTAATTATAGTAATAGTGTTCTCCTCCCACTAATCCAAAATAGTATAAAGCATGTTAAAGGGCAATAATTTATGAGATATTTAATTGTTTACAATTTTTCATGCGCGTTATATAGTATATCCCTCCTTTATAAACTCGAGTAGCAAGAATAGTTCAGTAGAAGTAGAATTTTACTGGAAAAAAATTATAAACCAGCATTTCTTTTCACGAAAGTCTCGAAAAAGGCCATCAGAAAAGAAATGCATATAAATATGTTTGAGACTCGAGACTTGTGAAGAAAATATGCGAAAAAAAATTGAATAGTTGTAAAAACATTTTTCGTTTATAAAACGAAATATTGATTGTATGAAAAAATTTGTAGAAGAAATGCAGGTATTTGAAATAACTACAAAATGAGACATGGAACATTAAAATCGATCTATTAGTTCAATAAAAAAGAAAATAAAAATATCGAAAAATAATGAAAATCTTTTTTTCACTCGCTCTCTGTTTATTGAGATTTAAACACAATTTCTTTGAAATTTTCGCAAAATGTAGCCCTCGTAATGACGAATAAATCTAGCCCTAAACAAGCTTGAAATGTTCATTAATTTTGCAAAAAGCCATTCGTTCACTAAAAATCTGTCTGCGGAAAACTTAATTTCTTCATTTTTGAGCAATTTACAAAGGTGATTTTTCTTCTTCAAGAATTGCACTATCACGTACACTTAATAACAAAACGATATTTTGCAGTTAAACTATTATAAAAAGACTTTAAAAAGTTGGTATCTTTTTCCGTAGAAAAAAATGGAAATAATTCCGTTCATATGCATCATATCAAATAACCATGTGAAACATTCGATATCCAACATTTTTCTACGAATTTAGAAAAAAATATTACCCTCTCATATTTGTGAAATGTTAGTGTTGAATAGTTGCAAAATATATTTTTTATGTAATTTATTTTTATATTTGCAAAAGTTAATGTCTTTAATAGTTATGCTGACATTTGGCAAATTATTGATTAATTATTTGTTTAATATGTCATGTTTGCATCTGCAATTAAATTCAAAACAACAATTTTATACTGATTTCGTACATTTAATTGTCCAATTGGACTTTTTACAGCATATTAATAAATGAAAAAATATAGCTGTGATAAATTTAAATTAAATTTGTTAATCAGACATGCATATCCATCACTCAAACGTGATTTTTTAGTAATAAACTGAAAAAATAAAAATTCAAGAAACAAAAAATTTTTTAAAATTAAAGTTTCATGATTACAAATTCGAAATTTTTTTTAACAAATTCAATTCTTTCTTGACAAATTGGTAAGACGGAACCTTTAATCTTAAAAATTAGAGCCACAGTGATTTTTTGAAAAAAAAATTGTTATCTCAGCTCCTAATAATCGGAGGCTAGTCTTTTTTTTTAAATTCGTAGAATCAGATTTCGAATGCTTCACATGGCTATTTGATATGATGCATATTATTAGGTGCACATTAGGTAACTTTGCTTCTGCCGTTTTCCTATAGATGGCTTTAGCGTAAGCGGTAAGTGGTGGTCGAAATAAATAGATCATAGACGTCATACAATAAACTTGGGCATCTGTCAACATAACCCCATAGAAACATTAGTCGATTTGTGTCTGCATCATAAAGTTATTCTCGATTGTCAAGTGTCAGTTTACGAGCCAAATTTTCGTCATTTGCGGGTTTTAATTTTTAAGTTTTAATTTTTTGCTTCAATATGAAGAAATCTGCGGCTGAGGCTCATCGAATGCTCTCAAATACTTATGGTGAGGCTGCTATTAGTGAAAGAACGTGTCCTAAGTGGTTTCAATGCTTCAAGAACGGTGATTTTGACGTCCAAGGTTATGCTCTGTATTTGGTGGGACCAGCTCGGCGTAGTGTATTATGAACTGTTAAAACCGACTGAAACAATCACAGGCGATCGGTATCGAACGCAATTGATGCGTTTGAGCCGAGCATTGAAAGACAAACGGCCGCAATACAACGAGAGACACGATAAAGTGATTTTGCAGCATGACAATGCTCGACCCCATGTTGCGAAAGTGGTCAAGACATACTTGGAAACGTTGAAATGGGAAGTCCTACCCCACCCGCCGTATTCTCCAGACGTTGCTCCCTCTGACTATCACTTGTTTCGATCAATGGCACACGGCCTGGCTGACCAGCACTTCCGATCTTATGAAGAAGTAAAAAATTGGATCGATTCGTGGATAGCCTCAAAAGATGACCAGTTTTTTCGATGCGGGATTCGTACCCGAAAGATGGGAGAAAGTAGTGGCCAGTGATGGACAATACTTTGAATCATAAATGTATAACCAGTTTTTTACAATAAAGCCTCGAATTTCGGAAAAAAAACGGCGGAAGCAAAGTTGTACACGTAATAAATTATTTTATTTTTTTATACGGAAAAAGATGCCCACTTTTTAAAGTTTTATAATAGGTTAATTGCAAAAAATCATTTTGTTATTAAGTGATAGTGCAATTCTTGAAGAAGAAAAACCACTCCTGTAAATTGTTATGCGACTGCTGAAAGAGGAAGAAGTTAAGTTTTCCGCAAACAGGTTTTTAGTGAATGAATGGCTTTTTGCAAAAATTAATGAACATTTCAGGCTTGTTTAGGGAGATTTGTTCATCATGATGAGAATTACATTTTTCGAGAATTTCAAAGCTTTGCGTTTAGATTTCGATGAATAGAGAGCGAGTGAAAGAAAGGTCTTCTTCGATGTTTTTATTTTTTATTTTTACTGAACTAATAGATCGATTTTAATGTTCTATGGCTAATTTTGTAATTATTTCGAATACCTATATTTTTTCTGCAGATTTTTTTTTTCTTATAATCAATATTTCGTTTTATAAGCGAAAAGCATTTTAAAAGCGTGCTTTTTACAATTATTCGATTTTTTTTACGCATATTTTCTTCACAAGTCTCGAGTCTCAGACATATTTCTTTTCTGATGACTTTTCGAAATTTTCAATTCGAAAAGAAAAATGCTGGTTTATAATTTTTTTCCGGTAAAATTCTACTTTTATTGAACTATTCTTACTATTCGAGTTTATGAAGGAAGGATATATATAAAAAATCATAAATAACTAAATATCTCATAAACTGTTGCATTTTAACATGATTTATACTATTCTGGATTAATGAGAGGAGTACACTATTACTACAATTTATTAAAATTTATATGTTTTTAGAATGCTTTCACCCCTTTTTGATGCCTAGGGCGAGCGGCTGAAATTGCTGAAAAATTGTCGATCGTTTAAAACAAGTGACGAGTGTGACAAGGAGCTCGCTGTCTCATTCATTTTCAGTGTGCCGAGCACACGGATATGGGCTCGTGCTTAAGTGTGTGGTTACCGGTTTCGCCAAAAATCGTCACCTGATTCGCCATCGTCAACGCAGAGTTCTTAGCTGAGTAATCAGAAACCTTAAAGAGTAAAAATCTTATGATAATGTGGATTTATCGATACTCTATGGGGTCATTAACAGCATGCCAATATCGATGAATTAAATGGTTTTTCCAGCATTTTTTATCTCCTAGAATTGTAAATTTTTATAATGCGGGAATTTTCTAGCGAGAACGATTATAAAAAGGTCTGCCTCGGGAATCAGTCTTGAATTCTATATTATTTAATATTTATGTTAATCGGATTTTATATTCGATTTCTCATAATTGCTCATCGATTCAATTTGCAGACGACTTTATAATAATGTGTATTGACAGATCTAATGGTTAACTATTTAAAGATAGCTTTTAATAATGTTAATTCATGGCTTGATTCGATTAACTTAACGTTGGAAATAGATAAAACGCAATCTATCATTTTTCGTAGAACTAGAATTCATTATTCCAACGAATATTCAACTGAATAGTAAGACCATTTTCTAATTTGATTAAGTACCTTGAATTTATTATGGATTCGGGTTTAAGATGGAGTTCATTTGATAGATTTTAAACATAAAACAACAAAGTTTCTAAATATGCTTAAATGGATTTTTGGCTCTTCATGGGATATCAGTCCAATAACCACCAATATGTTTATCATTGCAACTATTTTGGCCCAGTATGGGTGGTGTTCTTCCTAATATATTAATAGTGCTAAGTTATATATAAAACAGATTAATAACATGTTCTGCAAAACATAAATTATCTTTGGGTCTTGTCTTCCCAGATCATCGGCAAATCGAGTATTAAAGTATTGGAAATTCTTTAGCCAGAGCCTATTTGAGACTACAGCAAAATTAACAGACATTGCTTCCTATTGAAGTGTATTCAATTGAAGCACACTCAACTCATTAATAAAATAAATCGTTTATCATGCCTTGCTTCATAAGATTGCAAAAAGAAATATTCCATTTATCATGTATAGATTAAAGGAATTAAGCGAGTTTAAAGACTCAATTTACATATGGGAAATACATCCATTTGCATATATAGACTTTCTATCTGTTAAATTAGAAATAGATTTTAATACAGAGGTCCTGGCAAAAGGTGGAAATCCGAACAAAGCATTCATCAACTGCATACAAGGCCGCCTCTTCTAATAGGTCAGTATTTTCACAGATGGCTCGAGATATGTTTCAGATAGTGACACTTACTTTGATTGGATTTTTTCCCATGGATTTCAGTCGGATACTCTTTGAACCCATTATCTATAATTCTTTTGCAGCAGAGACCTGAGCCATTTGGAATTGCTCAATTTTATATTAAATTCCAAAATAACATTCCTTCCTGTAATACTTGCACAGAGTTGCTTAATCCATGCTTAATCATTATCCATGGGTAAAAATAACAAGTTTAAACTTTGCCATTTAATTT